AATTAAGATGACAATATCCCAAAGTGACCTACAGATTCAATCCAATCTCTACGAAAATCCCAACTCTCCATTTTTGTGTGTGTATGTGGCAGAAATAGAAAAGCCAAAACCAAAATTCATATGGAATCACAAGGGATATCAAAAAGCCAAAACAGTGTTGGAAAAGAATAAAGTTGAAAGACTCACACTTCCTGATTTCAATACTTAGTATAAAGCTACAGTAATCAAAATCAGGTGGTAGTGGTATAAATACAGACACACAGACCATTGGAATAGAAATAAAACTTAGGAAACAGCCCCATATATCTATGGTCAACTGATTTTTGACAAAGGTGCCAAGACCATTCAATGAAGAAAGAATAGTCTCTTCAACAAGTGGTGCGGGGATCACTAAATATCCACATGCAAAATAATGAAGCTGGATCGCTACCTGATAACACACACACAAATAAATCCAAGATGTGTCTAAGGCCTAAATGTAAGAGCTGAAACTATAAAACTATCAGAAGAAAAGATGGGGTAAATCTTCATGACCTTGGATTTGGTGATGTATTCTCAGACATGGCACCAAAAACACATGCAACAAAAGAAAAAATAGATAAATTAGATTTCATCAAAATTTAAAACTTGTGCATCAAAGAACACTACTAAGAAGATGGATAGAAAAAGAAAAAAGAAAAAAAGTAAATAGACATCCATGGAATGAGAGAAAATTTTGCAAATCATGTATCTGATAAGACTCTAGTATCCAGAATTTACAAAGATCTCTTACAACAGAAAGACAAACATCCCAATTAAAAAATGGGCAAAAGACTTAAATAGACTTCTCCAAAAAGTATACAAAAGGCAAACAAGCACATGAAAAGATGCTCAACATCATTAGTCACTAGGGAAATGCAAATCAAAGCCACAATGAGACACCACTTCAAACCCACTAGAATGGCTATAAACAACAACAAAACAGAAAATAACAAGTGTTGGCAAGGATGTGGAGAAACTGAAGCCCTTTACATTGCTGATGGGAATTAAAGTGCACAGCAGCTGTGGAAAACAGTTTGGTGGTTCTTCAAATAGCTACACAGTTATCACATAACCCAGCAATTCTATTCCCAGGTATACATCTAGGAAGAATTGAAAATGTTTGTACAAAAACTTGTATATTAATGTTGATATGAGCATTATTCATAATAGCCAAAGAGGGGAAAAAACCCAAATGTCCATCAACTGATAAATTAATAAACAAAATGTGGTATACACATACAATGGAATATTTATTATTCAGCCTTTAAAAGGGATACAATTTTGACACATGCTACAACATGCATGAACCTTGAAAACATGCTATGTGAAAGCAACCAGATATAAAAGGTCACATACTGCATGCTTCCAATTCAGATGAAATGCAGGAAACAGGAAAATTTCTTAGAGACAGATTATTGGCTGCCAGGCAATGGGGGAAGAGAGAACTGGGAGTGACTGCTAATGAGTATGGGATTTCTTTTTGGGGTGATGAAAATGTTCAAGAATTAGAAGGTGCTGATAGTTGTATAACCTTGTGAATATACTAAAAACCATGGAATTTGACATTTTTGAATGGTTAAAATTGTGAATTTTATGTTACATGAGTTTTACACAATTTAAAAAATTTAATAAAAAATATTTGTTATTCTGGGATATTTGTTAAAATGGGCAACTACAATTATGATAAGCAGTGGTAAAAAACAAAGATGCCATGAGAGCATTTTTAAAAATTGTAAAATATACATAAAATTTACCATTTTTAAGGGTATAGTTCAGTGCCATTAAGTATAGTCACATCATTGTGCAACCCATCACCACCACCACCACCAGGACTTTTCTCATCTTCCAAAATAAAACTCTATACCCATTAAATAATAAGTTGCCCCCTCAGCCCCTGGCAACCACCATTCTACTTTCCTTTTATTTTTTTTTGTCTTTTTTCGTGACCGGTAACGGGATCGCAACCCTCGGTGTCACGCCCATACCACGGCCGGCAACGGGACGGCAACCCTCAGTGTCGCGCCTGCACCAAGCTCAACCAGTGAGACGACCGGTCTCTATATGGGATCCGAACCCTCCGCGGGAGCGCCGCCATGCTCCCAAGCGCTGCACTCTACCGAGTGTGCCACAGGGCCGGCCCACACCATTCTACTTTCTGTCTCTATGACTGTGACTACTCTAGGTTCCCAATATTAATGGAATCATATAGTATTTATCTTTTTGTGACTGTCTTATTTCACTTAGCATAATGTCTTCAATGTTTATCCATTTTGTAGCATGTTTCAGAATTTCCTCCCTTTTTAAGGCTGAATAATATTCCATTGTACAGATAGACCATATTTTGTTTCTCCATCCATCCATCAGTCAATAGTATTTGGGTTTTTTCCCACCTTTTAGCTGTGGTGAATAACGCTGCTTATAACAAGGGTGTACAAATATCTGTTCCTATCCTTGCTTTTCAAAAATAAAAAAAAGTTATGATCGAGATTTTGAAGAAAGTTAAAAAGAAAATTGTTTTGAAAATACACAATTCAGCTTAGTTGAAAACCACCTGAAAAAGCAATACTACTACTTGCTTTAAAACACACACACACACACACACACACACGCACACAAGACATAAAAGTATCCATTGCAAATTTATTATGCATTAGGAAGCTTAACCTAAAAACCAACAGCATAGTAAAAAGATATGTTATCTCTGTTCATGGCAGAACAGGTTTCAAAATATATTTCCTTTTAAACATATTCAGTCAGTACACAATCCTTTATAAAAGTTGTATATATTTTTTCTGTCAATAACTTCATTACATTTATAAATACAAGATTTACAAGCACCCCATTAAAAAAAAAATTAAAACCTCTTACAAATATCTACATATATTTCATACCTATAAAACTTTCAAAGGAGTGCTCTGTTAGAGGTGGGCCCTCGTTAATGGTCCGTTTACTGGTGCAGCAAAATACATATAAATTTGTAAATTTTTCTTTGTCCATAAAACATCTCAAAAAATTAGCAAGACACTATTGTGAAACTTAGCTTCACTATACCATATTTTAGAAAGGAATTTGATGTGCGTATGCCCATGAGATTCAAAAGTCATATAAATAGACTGAAATAAAGATTAATTGAAAACAAATGCATACAACAGAGCAGTTAAGGCAAGAGTGTGATGGATGAGAAAAACTGGTTGAGAAGAAAGAAATGGAAGATGTAGGAAGGAGCATGATGAGTCTGAACCTGGACATCAACTCCACTGGTATCCAGTTACTAACTCTCATCCTCATTTAGGAATGGCCAAATTGTTAAAAAAAATTTTTAGGGCCAGCCCGGTGGCGCACTGGAGAGTGCACCGCTTGGGAGTGCGGCGGCGCCCCCCCCCAGGGTTCGGATCCCATGTGGAGACCGGTTCCCGCTTACTGGCTGAGCGAGGCGAGGGAGCAACACCGAGGGTTGCGATCCCGTTGCCGGTCCCCAGTACAGGCGCGACACCGAGGATTGTGATCCCGTTACTGGTCAGTAAAAAAAAAGACAAAAAGGAAAAAAAAAAAATTTTCTTTAGAAGCACCCTCCAATTTCTGTTGCCACCAGAATGGCTGATGTGTTTTTTTCTCCTGTAAAATCACCTTGGATCTGACCGGGACACTAGGTCCAGAAAGTTGAGTTGCAACTTCTACATGACTGAAATTTATAAGAAAAACGTCCATCTGGTAAAGGTAATCAGTGATCAATATTATTAATGTCCAGAGGTGTATATGCTGAATTTCATTCTAGCCAAGAATTGCAAATAAAGAAAATAAAGGGACAATAAAATTAGGTTTTTGTTTTACCTTTGAACAAAGGCAACATCCCTGATAATGAGTGACTCTTAAGAGTGGCCACTCATCAACACGTATGGGCTAAGAAAGAATAATTTAGAGAAACAGGAAGGAATTTTTCTTTCTTT